AAATCGGCGAACGCTAAGCGCGAAATATGCGCCATGTATAGTGCCGTGGCCTTAAGCGCAGACACATGCAAAAGATGGTTTGCTCGCTTCCGTTCCGGAGAATTTAATCTCCAAGATGCACCACGCTCTGGACGGCCAAATTCTGTTGACGACGACCAACTCCTGGCTACAGTGAAAAGTGATCGACATTTAACGACTCGAGAGATTGCGAAGCGCTTCGGCATTCATTATACAACCGTTAAGGATCGATTAAAAAAGTTTGGTATGGTGAAAAAGCTTGATGTATGGGTGCCGCACAAACTGAGCAAAAAGAACATCATGGATCGGATTTTAGTCTGTGAATCTCTCCTGAAACAAAACTCTCTAGACCCATTTCTGAAACGGATCATCACTGGAGACGAGAAATGGGTTGTCTACAACAACATTAAGCGGCGGAAGTCGTGGTGCGGTCCGGGCGAGTGTTCGCAAACGGTGGCAAAACCTAATTTGCATCCACAGAAAGTAATGCTATGTATGATGGAGACTCAGATTGATAACACTTTAAATTTTCTAGACGTAAAATTAATTGTTGACAATCACAATGTAATCTTTTTTGACTGGCATCACAAAGAAACCTTCTCAGGTAGATATTTGAATTTTTTGTCTATGCATCCTACCTCACAAAAAATTGGGACTATTATCTGCTTAGTAGACAAAATTTTTACACTGTCCCATCCACAGTTTCACACCAAGAATCTCTTTTTTATCATTAGAATTTTAATTATAAACAATTCTCCTCTAGAGTTCATTTTTAAAATTATTACTAATAGAATCAAATTTTTAATTAATAATAAATATAACAACAAAATTATAAATTCAACAGCTAACTCAATTGACACTCTAGATAAAAAGAAGTCGTTCTTTGTGATGCCTTATATTAATAATCTCACAGACTCTATGTCAAGGTCAATAAAATCTTTAGTTAATGTCTCCCTAGCTTTCCGTAGAATTAACAAACTTGACATATTTATTAAAGCAATTAAAGATCCCTTAAAGAAAGAACAAAATAAGAATTTAGTTTACTGTCTTGAGTGCACTTCTTGCAATGCTTCTTATGTGGGCCAGACTAAGAGGAAATTAAAAACCAGAATTACAGAACACAAGAATCAAATCAATCGAAAACATTTAGATCCATCTGTTGTTACTGAACATCGCCTTCAGACAGGGCATGATTTTAATTGGAATAATGTACGTATCATGGATCGCGAAAACCATTATAATAAACAATTAATTTCTGAAATGATTCAAATTAAGTTACAAAATAATNCGATTAATATTATGTCAGATACTGAACAATTAAAACCTTATTTCTCGTTTCTGGAAATATACAAATTGAAGTGATGGTTCACCTTTAAAGACTTTATTATTAAACTAAGAATGAAAAAAGGCCGATACGAGCCATTCCCAGGATGTTGTGCAGGAATAAACGTGCATGTATATATATATATACACATGTATGAAATTCTCATGTAAATTATTTTTACATGTGAGTTTTTTGAATTGAAGTTTCAATTCTTAAAATCATACACAGTTTGTCCGGAAAGTTCCCGGACTA